ACGCGCACTTCGGTCGATCGTGCTTTCTCCAGACGCCGCCTCGTCCACGGCCTCGACAACAATCCAACAGCTTCTGCAGTGTCGATCGCGCCTGCGGCTCTACGTTTCTCGTATCCTCGGCCTCCTTCCCCCTAGTTCCGACCTGTCGCTGTCTCTCATCCCGCGCCACTCTTCTTGCCTATCCGCCGTGTCGCCTCATGCACTACTGCTGACCTCGTTCACCTTGAATCGACCTATTTTTGCCTCCGTTTTGCGACCCTAGATATTCTTATCCTCCCATCTGGATCGCGCAAAATGGCGTACAACTCGTACAACTCGTCCATCGTGCTCGACCTCCCTCCACTGCCGTCATACACCCTGACTCCTCGCGAGCCCCTCCTTGCTCCGATCCCCGATAACATTCTGGCCTTGATCTTGCCAATTGTCGCCTATTGGGTTGTCTCCCTGTTGTTCCACTTCATCGACGTCAACGATTACTTTCCCCAGTATCGCCTCCATACACCCGCGGAACTGCTCAAGCGAAACCACGTTTCTCGTGCGGATGTGGTAAGGGATGTAATCTTTCAACAGGTTATCCAAACTCTGGCAGGTTTGGTGGTAGCGTATTTCGATGAGGTGGAGTATGTCGGTCGCGAAGAGTACGATGTGGCGGTCTGGGCCAGGCGCCTCCGGATTCTCCAGAAGGCGGTTCCCACGCTTGTCGGCTTTTTGGGTGTTGATTCTATTCGTCTCGCAAAGAATCTGTCTCGATACCCGTCCCTGGCTGGCATTCTGTCTGGTGGATCGTATCCAGGACTCGTCCAGACTGTGATCTTGGACAATGGAGCCGAGGTAGTGGCGCCAGCATTTGCGAAGTGGGAGCTCGCCGCAGCAAGCTTTATCTATTGGTATTTCATTCCGGCCATCCAGTTCACCTGGGCCATCCTCGTCGTAGACACCTGGCAGTATTTCTGGCACCGGGCCATGCACCTCAACCGGTGGCTCTATGGTGAGATTTGCCGCCATCGGTCAAATCATTGTTAGATCGTACTGACTGGCTATCCAGTGTCTTTCCACTCTCGCCACCACCGTCTCTATGTGCCCTATGCCTTTGGAGCCCTGTACAATCATCCCGTGGAAGGATTCCTCCTGGATACGGCGGGAACGGGTGTGGCGTTCCTCACCTCCCGGATGACCAGTCGCCAAAGCATGTGGTTCTTCACCCTGTCGACCATCAAGACTGTAGACGACCACTGTGGGTATGCGTTTCCTTGGGATCCTCTGCAGTTAATCACCTCCAACAATTCCGCCTACCATGACATCCATCACCAGAGTTGGGGTATCAAGACCAACTTCTCCCAGCCGTTTTTCACTTTCTGGGATCGTCTGCTGGGAACCCAATGGAAGGGGGATGTCTCGCTGAAGTACGAACGTGCGCGCACCGCTGCTGAAAAGCAGGTCGAGGCGGACAGAGCCAAGCAGACCGGAGACGCAGCGGATGACGCGCTTCCAACAGAGCCAGGCCCGCTCGATGCCGGCAACCCCGATCATGACTCAAATCAAGACCAGGTGGAAGTGTCTCCCCGCAAGATTATTCACCGGAGCATGCGGAGTACAGCTACTACAAGAGGCCATGGAGTGAACAGCAGCATTCGTCAGAAGTAGCTTGCCTCGCGCATTGAATGTGACGACGGGTGGCTGACCTTTTTTTTTCTCTTCCTTACCGAACCTTGTTTATAATGTGTATTATTTTTAATCATGGGATGTGGCTGGACTGCTCCCCGGACGGGCAACCCGTCTGTAGGTTTGTACATCACGGTGAGAACAGAAACCTTTCGAATTGATGACTTCTTCGCACTTCTCTATGCTCAAGCTGAGAATTCTCCTCGGCCCTTCGTGATCTTCCAAGTCTGTGGATATTGCAAGTTTTGGATCTATTGCTGTTTGAAGCTTTATTTATCTATACATATTATGGGATATTTGGATAATAAATTGTATTCAAGCCTAATACATTGGGGTTTTTTTTTTCTGATTATGTTTTGAAACATGTTTCTGGGATGTAAGACTGCTGTGATATGGATTGGATTCGCGACTGGGATTTTCACTCACCTAGCCAGTCTGCCAGGAGGGTTGTACTCATTAGCAGTGTTGTACAGAAGACTTCAGGTGGTTTCCGCGGGTGACACAGACGGGGGCGTGCCCGGTGGAGTGACATCTGTGTACTCTGAACGTGAGTCCGAGTCCTTGCCACGGGTTACGAAGATGTGAAATTCATCTGGCGGATGATTGCTCCCGTCTCTGGAGGAGTGTGCAGGATAGATACGAAACTCACTGTGGCGCCAGTCTAATTCGGCGGCTCCATCCAGCTGGCCCATGATACCTGACTGATGAGAATTGCGATTGCGGTCAGACACAGTTCCGGCTGAAGATGATGCAGCAGCAGGGTCAGCATTGCCAGGCCATGGCGTGAGATTCATTGGTCCAAGCTGCTGCTCCAGAGTGAGACTAACCTGGGGTGTGGCCGCATACGCGTCAATGATCTCGTTCTCCCAGTCAGCAGCTCCGTCTCCAGAACAGAACAGTTTTGACTTGTCTCTGCGACTGTTGTGCCGTTCGTGTTCGGTGTCACTGACCTCGTTTAGCGTATTTGCATGTCCAGAGCCACTACTTGCAAGGACTTCTGAAGGCTGGTTTACCTGTCTGATCTGGCGTTCCATCTTCTGGTGGCTTGCGCGAACGGCGTACTCCCTAGCCTCCTTCATGCCCCACGCCTGGTGGTTACTCTGTTGGTAGATGTACTGTTTCATGTCTTCGTGCTGGTTGATCCATTCTTCCACAAACCGGAGCAGTCGTGGCGGTATGTTGTTCGTCCGTGCCTGCTGACGGCTCAGCAGCACGGTGCGGAGATCTCGCAGAGCGCGTGGAGTCGAACCAACCCTGGCGAGCATGCAAGCCTCGCATTTGTCGATCTGGAAGGTCCACGTTCCCCGCGGGGAGGGCATCCCAGCGGGTGGTGCAGTCCACATCCCCTGGATAGTCCGAAGATACCGAATGATCACAGCTTCCTCTGGCCCAACCATGCCGGGATGCTTCTCAATCGAATCAAGACGCCAAGTGACCTCTTGCTGAAGGAGGGTGAAAGCATGCCGGACGACCTGCCGGTTCAGGTCCTTGTGTGTCGGACACAGCACGGCGGTGTTGCTGCACCCGCAGACCAGCTTCATCAAAGTCGAGCTGTGGAGGTGAGAGGGGAGTCTGGCGATCATTTGCCGGTTTTTCTGATTATCTGGCCGCTGCGAGGTTGGGTCTACTCGCAGGATGCGAGTTAGCAGCTTCACGTCGTCGTGATCGAGCTCGTCGACCTGGATGGGGTACCTCCGCCGCATGATGTGCTAGAAGGTCATTAAAAAGTGATGTCGAGTCTGCCGTTTTCAACAATTGTATTCAAGATTGACAATTGCTCAAGTCTGCCTGTTTGTTTGTCTTAGCTTAGCGTGAATAAATAAGTAGCTATATCAGCAGTAATATCAGCAGTAATAAACAATAACCAGTCGTGAGTCAGTCTTTCGATCCGTCAAGATTGAGATGCGTACAGTACGCGAGTCAAGGAAGAAAGAAGAGAGTAGAAAAAAGGAACTCCTCAAACGAGAAATCAAATCAAATACTTGACCAAGTCCTGGACTTATTATGACTGACTGACTCACTGAGTGACTGAGCAACTAAATCCTCCATGCATTGGTTCTTTCCTGTCGACATCTTCCTTCCATTATCCATTCATTTATTCATTTATTCATCCAAGTGCAGCACGCAATATAGCGATGTCATATATCGAGTGAAAAAAGGACGGATATTCTCGTCGAAAGAAAAAAAAAAACTTTCATTGAAAGTATTTTATATAGACAGGTTGGTTTCTTTCTTTCTTTCCTTTATTTCTTTATTTCTTTATTTCTTCCTCCATCCTTTGTTATTGCTGTTACAGTTATTGTCGTAGCCCTCTTGAAGATTGTTCCCATTCTTTCTTTGTTGTATGTATCTTACCTGTAGATAGATAATAAATAAATAATGAATAAATAATGGCATTCATTCTTATTCATTGTCCATCTTCCCCATCCCCCCGTTTATATATCTACCTCATCAGTCTAGTCAGTCTTTCTTTGTTTTAAGTATGTACTGTACATACAGTACATACCTAAGTATATATTGTGTCGGCGATCTCTGTGTTTGCTCACCACCCGTCGCCGGATGCGGAAGACCTCAGAGCTCTGGCACAAAGAGACAAGATCTATTTTTGACCTCTTTGTATGCCTACAGGCATAAATATGGGCTCAAATCCCCCAGGAGACTTTCTTCCTAGATTATTCCTGTTTACTAGAGTGCTAGTATCAATACAGACTGGATCTTTGCCTTATGGCTGACTGCCTGTTTCGCCGACATATTGTATTCTTTCTATCTTATCTGTCTGTCTGTCTGTCTATTTTGCTCTTTCTCCCTCTTTTCTTTTCTTTTCTTTCTTTCTTTCCTTCCTTCTTTCTTTTTGCCTATCAGATTATGTATTACCTATATATATATAGGCACTCAGGCTGTATACACTACCTATGTATCTATGTCTATCTACAGAGGGAAACTACTGAGATGGGATTACTATTGGGAATTGTGTTCTTCTTGCTTTCTTGCCGTTTTTCTTGTCCTCGTCTGCTCTGTGTATGTGTGTATAGAGAGAGGGAATAAAAGGTAGGATAAGAAATATTTTTTTAAAAAAAAATGACAGAGAGAGAGCATAATTCGGAATAAAAAAAAAGAAATCTCAATCGAATAACTGTTTTTCTCCTTTCTTTCTCTTGTCCGTTCTGTATTCTGTATTTTTTGAACGAGTCGTTTATATGTACTGTACAGTACAGCCAGCTCTTACTACCTACTACCTGCTTGCAAGGAACGATGCTTTTAATTAATCTCCTCCGAATAAGGATATTTACACTCTCCTAGGGTATTGTATATGTACAGTCACAGCCTCGCCGTCCCATTCTTGCTGACCTTCTCCCGGCTCAGCCCCTTGGCAATATTCCTGCTAGTCCAGTCCGAGATGGCCATGTTGGTGACCATCGGATTCACGCCACTCGCGCTGGGGAAGACGGATGCGTCCACGACGTACAACCCTCGAGTCCCCCACACCTGGCCGTCCGGGTCCACGACGCTCTTCTTGGGCGAATTGCCCATCCGACAGGTCCCCATTTGATGCGCGCTGGCAAAGACACCTTTCTCCGGGTTCAAGGGCGCTCGACGCCGCAGTTCCTTGATCCACGCCTGCAATGCGGCGTTGTTCACTCCCTCCCCGTCTTCCTCGGGATCTTTCACCGTCGAAGGTCGAATGAATGGCGGCATATCGGCATACGTCGTGTGGAACTCCTTCGCTCCGCAGATGTACGCGATTTTGGCAGCCCCAATGAGTCCTTCAACCATGTGATTCCGGTCAAACGGCGAGACAGTATAGGCGATCCGCAGCCGGCCATCCACCGGGTCTGGATACACTCGGCCGGCGTCCCGTTCTCGAGTAAGGGTGATAAACCCCGTCATATGGCGCAACTTAGAAGCCCACATCTTGTACTGCAGACCGTCTTTCCACGGAAATGCCGCGAGGAATACGCCGGGTAGCATACATGTCGCCTCGATCTTCGGTCCATGGCCGTGCCCATCCAGGTTCTCGAACTGGTTGACCACGGTGGTGAGGCATGCACCTTCCCAGGGCCGAATATCCTCGTCAAACACTGCAGCGGCCAAAAAGACTAGCCAGAACAGTCAGCATGACGGCCGGCAGCAGTGCCAAAGAAAGTAACAAAGCTTACCTGGATGCAGATGCAGATGACGCCCAATGTGCGGATTCTTGATCCCACTACGCAGCAGGAGCAGAGGGCTCTGGAGACTCCCGCACGAGACGATCACCCGTTTCGCTTTGATAATCACCTTCCTCCTCACTCTGTCCTTCCCACTGGTGCCGAGATGAGTGTCCCTGGACGTCCACACCCCCTGCACTCCTGATGCAACTTTCTTGCCATTCACCGTGTCGAAAAGGACCTTGTCGGCATGAAACCCTTCGACGAAGACGGCTCCCGCGTTGGCGGCGTCCACCAACCATGTCGCCACAGGACCCTGTTTCGTCACGGAGGCGCATCCCAAGGTGCAGTATCCGCAGTAGTGCTCGCGGTTTGCGGTGTTCTGCGGGACCGTGTTCGCAGCATAACCCAGCTTTCGCGCGCCTTCCAGGATGACCTGATTTCCGTGGTTGTGCTTGATGGACTGGGTATTGACTCCCATCCGATCGCAGACCCGGTCCAGCGACTTCTGGAACTCAGCAGACGTGAAGAAGGGCAAGCCCGAGTCGGCCCATTCCTGACGCACATAGCTCTGGGTCTGCAGCGAGGCGGACCAGTTGATCGTTCCTCCACCACCCCAGGTCGATCCGGCCAGGACGGCCATGCAGCCGTCATCAGTCACGCAGCTGCCTCCACTTTCGAACAGGTGAATCATGCCATTAGACTGCGTCATGGGGAAGTACTTGGAAGGGTAGTGATAGGATTTCTCCACCACGAGGACTCGATGGCCGGCTTCTGCAAGATTCTTGGCTGCCACAGCTCCGCCACAGCCACTGCCGATAATGACGACGTCCGTCTCGAGTGTCTCGGGCTGCTCACCGGGAGGGAATTGGAGAAACTGGTATTCGAACCCATCCGCCGGTTTTCCGTGCACCGGGACCCTGGGAAATCCGAGCACGGGAGGTAGCGTCGGACTAAGACTGATCCAAGCCTTTTTGAATAAAAGAGCAAGCGCTCTGGACACATGACGCACAGGGGGCAGTCTTGATGTCGTCCAGTTCTGGAATATCTTTTCACGCACGTTCAAGGGTTGGTACTGGATGGGGGTTGCCGAGCCCGTCAGGATCAGAGACCCAGCGCGCGTACTAGTTGATGTCGTACTCAGCGGTCTGGACGAGAAAAAAGGGGGATAAATGCTTACTTTAAAGCTGTCAGAAGGAATCCCACTCCCTTCCTTGCCTCCTGATATATATACTGCCCAAAGACGCGGTGGAGGGACTCCTTGAACAGCGGAACGGACGAAGCGCTCTCCTCGAGGTACTGCCTCGCCAGCCGGCCGGCATTGGGACCTTCAATGGTCTCCTGGAGCGTCGACAGCGCCGATTCGATTTCTGCAGATGGGACGGTTTTCTGGTTCGGCGACTTGGCGGCGCCTGCGGCCGCGATGGAGGGGATGACCGCGTCAGCTAGGGACAAGAGCGTCTTCCACTGCAGCTCGGTGAAGACGTCGTCTTCGGGAAGGGGTGGAACGGGAGCTTCGAGGGGAGTGTAGCTGGTCATTTTAAGTGAGAGAATGGGTAACAATAGTGTGTAGCAGGAACTGATCTTTGTAGGTCTAGGTACAGACAGAATCAACAAACAATCCACTCAGGACTGGCTGGCTGCCCGCAGCAGCAGTAGCATTTCACATCCAGTCGTCCCTTCCTGACGTTTGCTTGCTATCGCATGTCGTGTCCAACCAGGAGGCTCCTTGTCGACACTATATATATAGCGCCCCAACAGCAGCTACCTGGTGACTGGTCTCTCACATGCAGGGGGTTCCCAACGACCGGGGTGTTGGCGAGACGAAAGCCGCGGCAGTGCGGATCTGCAGGAGGAGAGCAGCCATTAACTGCAATTTGTCGCCAGAATCTAACTATTACGGCGCCGATCATGCTTGGTGACAATGCGGGAAAGGGGGGACGCGAGAGCTCCGCCGGGCCTGTTTGCGGGGAATGCAGAGGACAAACAGCATAGTCTGGAGTTTAAGTGAGTATAAGTGCAGTCAGTGCATGCGATCTGATCTTGAAACGCAAATCAAAATCTCTTGTTGATCCCAAAGCGCCAGCTGACTGCGAGTATTTCTCTTAGTGGAGCAGGCATCCTAATTAATTCCAATAAGGACGGCGCCGCTATTGGCGCTAGGACGGACTAGATAAAGTAATACAGTAATTAATACCAACCACCATGGCAATAGCAATTTCTAAAGGATATATCACTCAGTGTAAATAGTTATTCTCAGGTCGATGACTAACAACACTGTCTTTGTTGGGCTTCCTGAAAAAAAACAAACCAGGGTTTTCGGGGAGATGCCATCAACACACATTGGTAACAACATTACGCAAGCAGTACAGGGAAGTATTCGACTGATTACTTCGTTATATGCTGAAAACACCGAGCTGGCTATTTATTTCAACACAATACCAGACTTGATGAACATTGAGTAATGATATTTTGCATGACAACGTCAAATATATCAACAGTGGTTCGTTGCAGTATTTCCATCCCACTCGTTAAAGACTTGCAAGCATGACAACATATCAAGGATCGCTTCATAGATCAAAACGGCCAGATGGACCTGAGATCTCCTTCATTTCTCACCGGCTCATCATCGTCCGGATTTTCATTTGTCAATACAGCTCGCAACATCCCGTCGAACATTTGCCTATGAGCCAACTGCGTAGCTTCCCAGTCCTCCGCAGGAACCCCATCCGTCAGATGCAGTATTGAGCAAGCTGGACAGATCCCGTCGCAGATTCTGCGCGGCTTCAAACATTCTGTACTCCTTCCGATGGACGGCGAGTTCGCTCGGCGTGGGCATCGGATAGGGACATGAGCCCGCAAAACCTAGTTCCTTTCAGTGTTGCGAAGTTTCAATTAGCTCATGGCGAAGAGCTACAGCGCCGTCTTTCCGCGTCCTGTAGCAATAGCGAAAAGGCCGAAACAGAGCTTCTGCTTCATCCATCAACCTAGGACGAGAAAGCTTTGGGGTGAGGAATTGAGTGCAAACGTCGAAAGTCTGGGCACATATCTCATTATTGTTGGGTTCCGCAAAATCCGGTATCTCGTCCGCATACCAAAATGCCGGCTCATTACTAGCCGATTGCCAATCAATAATACTCGTTATGACACAAGGGTCGTCGTCTGAAACAAATATGTTTCTTTTGTGAAGGTCAGGGTGGAACAACACGGGTGTAGCAGCAGCGTCTCGGATCCGAGGATCGTCAGACATTTGCTTTAGCACAGTGCGAGCGCATTCCAAGAGGCTGACGTGTGTCTGAACAGATCCATGATAGAAGGGTTGCTTCTCAAGCTCAGGATCGATAGATGGGATCCTTGAAAGACCAGCATCGATGAGCCCGTCGCAATATGCGCTAAGGCTAGTCCCTAAGTTGTCCTGTAAGCGGGCTCATCTGTGTCTCAACTCTCAAGGGTGTTATATATCGAAACCTACCATGGACCATGATTGGGTTTCGTGTTGTGGTAATATCTTGGCTCACCAGCATTATTGCAATCCCAATATCTAGCTCCGCAGCGGGGTCCAATGCAGAATTCCCCATCATCCAAGGGTTGTTGCTTGAATGAGGAGGCCGAATAATCTAGCAGGCTATTATTATCAACAAAATAGAGGCTCCCATAAGCGGGAAATTCCAGGTCCACCATTTCTTTGACCTTCCGATAGATAGCACCTATGCATTTGACTTGCTGGTCACCCGTCATATCCGGCCATTTCTTGTGCAACTGAACCCCGGCGGCATGTTCCATGATGATGTATTCGCTCCCAATGGGGTTTGATGAGGCATCATTGCTCCAGTCCAGGATTTTCGGTATTGGGATGCTGGTCTTTGCTTGTACTGTACTATGTAAGTAAGATGGGCAAAATTGGTTACCAGCTGCACTGTACATAACTTTCTCAAGCTTTTTTTTATCGATTCAAACTAGTAGTATTACTCACGATACTTAATTGTAGCAACTTCAGAAGTAGTACTCAACTTTGGCGGCCCAGCAATTGCAAACAGAAGCCGTGCCACAACAACTCGTCTGGCATTATTATTGTCCAAAGTGAAAATTAAAAAAAACCCTGTTGAACCCTCCTTCCTTCTTCTCGCAAGCTGTGATCGCCTCCGCTCCGGGACATACCTCGATAACCCGCGGCAAAGCGCGTCAAAGTCGAATTTGATGTAGCGCAGGTCCCGTTCCAGTTTGTCGTGACGGAGCCAGTGGCCGCTTGTGTAAGTGTAAGGATCGAAGCCCGTAACCATTGGACTCATTGCATGCGCTGTGAAGAGTCGTGCGCAATAATAAATGGGTAGCGAATGGAGTCGCAAAGGAGACAGACTTCTTGCCTGTGCGAAATGGTTTCAAGAATGCAGAATGGCGAGCCAAATAACCCGCTTCCCACGGCAGCTGACGGATCATGCTACAACTCATAAAAACAAACGTCTTGGCCTAAAGAAGTGAGTGGTTCAAAGTTCGAAATCTTATAGTATAGATACTAGAAGAGTGGACAACAAGAGTCGTAGGCACGGGCACAGCGCGCTGTGTCTGGAGTCTCAGCTTTCTGAGCGGGCTAAGAAAAAAAGAAAAAAAGAAAAAAAAAGCACACCGATGTGCTGTCTCTTGTTTATTAGCCCTGTCTATATGCATACAGAATAGGAAGAGGGTTTGGATTAGTTTCCTGAGACCTAAACTTGTACTGTACTGTACAGGTCACGTTGCCGAGGCCTGAGGCTTGTCAAGTGTAGAGCAAGGGCATCATCCAGCCTCGTTTTGTCTTAAGTCATACTATCGCTGCAACGTAAACATATAGCCTTGATGATAGCTGGATCGCTAGATAATTCTCAGGGATAATGTAATATTTCACACGTGAAGAAGAAAAAAAAATAAATAAGAACAAGAAGAAGGAATAATACCATACAATACAGTACAAAAAAGACAATACAATACAATATATATCCACCAAATCTCTCATTCATTCACTCATTCCATTCATTCATTTCGTTCATTCCAAAACAAAACCAGAATAACAAGAAATAAAACCAGAACCTAAATAAATACAAACGCTTCTTCAACCCAAAAACGCCCGTTTTCGATTCCGCATCCTCTGCCCCGTGTACACGTCCAGCTTGACGGCATAGAAGATTATCTCTAGTGGACGGCTTGACTCTGGCTCTGTCGTTGGTTGTACTCGTAGTCGCCATTGGCCTCTGTCGACGATCCATTTGCGGTGCGTCTTATGTTTCGCTTCGGATGATGATGCTTCTGCTTCCTCGTCCGACTCGTCTGCTCCGCGTTTTCGCTTCGCGGGCGGGCGGTGCACTGCGTCGGGAGAAATATTATTGCCGCCCCCGAATCGAAATCCCGTCGACGTGTCTATAATGTACGGCTCCCCGTCCACCGTGACGTCGGCGTCGGCGTCGATGCAGATCTTCGGCCGGTCCTCGCTCAGCGGCGTGTGGCCCGGACTCGCCGCCTGCTTGCTCGGCCCGCCGGCCATCATCATCAACCCCAGGGGCGCGTTGGTCGGCAGATTCAGCTTGTTGGTCACCACCTGCACCAGGCTGGCTACGCGCGCCTTGGCCAGACCGCGGAAGTCGGCCCGCATCGTCTCCAGATCGAGCACCGTGCTCTGGCCCCCGATCTCGACGATCAGCTCGTAGGCGTCTTCGTCGACGAAGGGCCGGGAGTAATGCACCCATCCGGGCGCCTTGGGAGCTGGCGGCGACGACGACGAGCTGTTGTCTGACGGTGACGACGATGATGGCGGGACATCGCTGACGAACTGAATCCCCGACTGGCGGATGTCTTCTAACCGGATGACAATCTCGGACCGGTCCCGTTCCGGGTTGTAACTGATGTGATGCGGGATCAACTTCTGCTCCAGACCCCGGAGGTGGAAGTACCGACAGTCGCGGAGCAGCTCCGCCCGATGCTCCTCGTTCTTGATATGCAGCGGATACCCCCGGAGAAGGTGCAGCAGCTGCGCAAAGACCTCCCCGGACCGGTGAGGTACGCTGGGAGGGACTATCGATGGCGGCCGCAAAAGGCCCTTGCGATCCAGGCCCGGGAAAACCTCGGTGGGGGACGCAAAAAAGATCGCAAAGCCCAGGGAGAAGAAATTGGGCGAGTCGCCGGGCCCGGAGAAGATGTCCCGAGAGATCTGGAAATGCCGGTCTCCGATCTGGATGAAGATCTCGGATTCAAAGAGCTGCGATATGAGTCTTGGTACTACCTAAGTCAGTATGCCGCTGCCAAGGATAGAGCAGAGTATACACGTACAGCTGTAGAATTGAGCGTCTGCGAACAATTTCACAAATTGCGCCCCGTCCTTAGGCCGTACATGGTAGCCTGCGCATCGTCAGCGGACTGACATGATATCAGTGCTTCCGCCGAACGTCCTACCTTGCAGATGTCTGCAGATCTCCCGAAAGGTGACCGGATCCCGGTCGATGTACAACGTCCTCACGGTGCCGCCATTCTCGGTCTGACGAAGCTGCTCTTCGAAAAACTGGGAGAAATATGACGGTGCTCTAAGATTCTCAGCGTGCGTTCTACAAAAAAAAAGAATTCATTGCCAGGCCGTGTGGATTGTGTGAGAGGATACTGACCATCAGAGGAGATCGACGCGCCCGACAGTCGGAACAGTTCCGAGCCGATCTGGATAGGGAAGACCTTTTCCGGAGGGAGAGTAGTCGTAGCTTGCGGACGATTCTTGCTGGATCCAGGGATCCCGTCGGTAGAGGAACCTGCGCCTTGTCGCATCAGAACCCCTCCCATAGAAAGGATAGACGTCGTGCTGTTCTGTCCCGCGCTATCAGATGGCTTCTTGTTCTCTGCGCGCGAATCGCTTCCCTGCTCTTGCGGCCCTGTGTCGGAGTTGTTATTGGTATTGGTATTGGTATGGGCAGGCGACGCGGATTGCGAGCTGGTGGACATTTGCGCCATTGATGTACTGGCCGTGTATTCGCGATGCGCTTGCTGACCGACAGGACAAGTTGACTGCGCGCTGGCTTCTACCTTGACTGTGCGCGGGGTGGGAGCGGCTCGAGGGCGTTGAGACGGTGGCAGCGTCGTCGTCGTTGTAGGCGCGGAGGATTGCGTCTGTACATTGGCCGAAGCGACGGTAGTAGTGCTGCTGGCATTCCAGGCAGCAGAAGGCACCTCGTCGTCCAGGCCCTGGATCAGATCCTGGCGCTGGTCCGCGAGCTCCCCTTGGAGCGCATAGAAATGGGCCAAGTCGAAGAAGGAGTTGTAGTAGTAGGAGTCCCCGAAGGGTTCGTCAGGTAGTGGCTGTCGCGATGAACCCGCCACGATGTTCTGGCAGATATGGTGATGCTGGTCCGTTGGAGGAGGAAGAGCAAGAGGCTTGGCTGGGAGGGCCGCTAGAATGGCCCCCAGCGGCGGTTGGGCGTCCGCTGTGACGAATGAAACACCAGCAGGGTTGTCTGACACTTGGTTGCTGTCAGAGTCGCTGTTGAAGCTGCTGCGAGCTGAGCTGACCCGGTGGGAAAGTCGTGACTGACGAAGCTGGGAGAACGACGTCGCGGAAGCTATCCGGAGTCGCAGCAATTAGCGGCGCGATGTCCGACTCACTCTCCGTCGAGCGGCAGGCTGCACAACAGCAATTATTAATAAGACGTCGATTTCAACAGAAAGAAATAAAATGATGATGAAGTTGGACCTTCATCCAGAGTACATAAATACCTCTACAGTAAGCAGTACATGCACATACTCTTGCCGTATGCTGTATGCTCCGAACCTAAGCAAACGACATCGACATCGACATCGACAAGATTAGCAACTTATTCATTCAACAGCCTACCTATTTCCAGGCGTAAGTACTCGAATAATATTGAACCTTAGAGAGCATGGGGAACCAACCTCTGTTGAGATCAATCGTGGTGAATATGCAACCCGTGCTGACAAGAAGGACCTCTTGAATAATATATAATCCAGACTAGATATGCGTCTTTACATCAGCGAGCATCCACGAAGCAAGCTGTGATAAGCCAGTCGTCAGTTAGTGTAACTAAACTCAGGCTACCAATGGCATTGTATGCTATGGTATGCAGCTAAAAATGCGAGAGACTCTGTACGGAGGACGCAGTGGTTAAGAGAGGCAGATTTCGACAGCATACGGAGTAAACGCACTCAGAAAATTAAAGCCCTATTTACAAAGGATTTGACACGTTCATTTCGTATACAGTTACGTTGTCAGGTACATCGTACTTGCATGGACTGTGCGTATGTGTATTGTATACAGTTACAAGGGAATATCATTATTATTTCCTCATCACTGGATATCGTTAGACCTTTTCTTTTCCCCCGCAATTATAATTTCAGAGACAGGTTTGGGTTCAGGAACCAGACGAGTTTCATTGCAAACTACAGAATATAATTAGCCGTCTAATCAGAGAATCCTTCCCATTCCTCCTCATCATCATCCTCTTTACCAGACCGCTCCGGATGATTCGCGTCGATCCGCGAAGAATCCGCCTCTCTAACAGCGTCTTCATCCCTGACGAAGCCCGCGACGAAAAACCCGCCTGTGCCTTCGTCATCGCCCGGCCAGCAGCGCAGGCAAGCGTCTAGCTCTTCGTCCGACAGATCAACAGCAGCCGCGCCAGTCTGTCCGCTCCGTACGCCCCTGTGCTTCCACTTCCTCAGCCCCTCCGGTTGCTCGTCCCGTCGCATGATCCTCCACCCCCGACGCTTTGCGACCTCCGAGGCCAGGACGCGCGCCACCACGGATTCGTTCTCCTGCACGTGGATGGAACAGGTGCTGTAGGTGACGCGCTTGGCGGCAGGGAAGCGGAGCGCATGCTCGACGATGTGCGTCTGCAAATTGGCCAGTTTCGTCAGGCGCTGTGTGTCAACGGGTGCTGCGGACTGAGTTCCAGTTCCGGGAGTGACGGTATCGGAATCTCTCTCATCATCTCGTCGTTTGCGCTTCTTCCCACGAGTCTCGGTCTTTTTTGACTTCTCAGGCGAGGCTGGCAGAACCAGCTGGGGCACATCGTCTCGACCAATGATGCCGCTTCCAGAACAACTGGGGTCGAGGAGCAATCCAGAGACCCGTTCAAAGCGCGAGTCGGTCGGATCCAATGCCAGGAAATCCTGCCCAGCAAGCACGGTCACGGTCTTGTCTGCATCTGCCAAAGAGACCATCTTCTGGAGCGTCTTCGATCGGGTGGGCGATGCGTCCATGGAGAAAATGACGGGTCCCTTGCCGGGCTGGCGAGATAAAAGCGAAGCAAGATGGGTGGTTTTGTTCCCCGGTGCAGCACAGCCGTCGATGAGATCACCCTCCCATTGCGTACATGTATCCCGGTCACCTAGGAGGAGGTATGCAGGGAAACAGGACGCCTTGTCCTGAAGGATGAGTTCACCTTGCTTGTAGGCGGGGGAGGATGAGAGGTCGATGCCCGGCGAGACTGCGACAAGATCAGGCACATTGACATCGACGTACAGCTGGTGCTGGCCCTCTGCCAATTGTGCCAGGCTGTCAACTCTTTCGTAGGAAGCAAATGTAGACTGAAGCTGGGCATCGAGAGTCGTCTTGACATTATTGATGCGCACCCATCGCGGATACAAAGCCTCGGAGACAGATCCACCTGCGGCTTTTTTCTCACGCAGAACTGCGGCTTGGAGGTCGTCCAGAGAAACGCAAGCGCGGCGCACACGAGCCTTTGTGAATTCACCCTTGAGGCGGACCTTGTGCCTCTCGACCGCCTGCCGAAGAGGATGGGAGGCCGGGGCAGCGATGCCATTCTTGGACAAGAGATGGTCATGGACGAGGAGAAGCGCGAGCAAGGGCGTCAACTATGTCTCCGCGACATGGTTCGCCTTGGTTAGTTAGCATCCGACGGAGGAGGAAGTCAGTGCCGGGCCACACAACTCACCTTGGGTTCCAGCGCGAGAATGCCGGCATTCTCGATGACTTCTTTGAGCAGGACATCCCACTTGGAGGCCTCGGTGATGAGGGCGAAGACCTGGGCGGGCGACGACTTGAGGGTCTTGGAGTTGTAGATGCGCGATTTGAAGGAGCCGCCGGTGGAGGCAGGGGTTGTCAGGACGGAGACAGCATCATAGTAGAGGGACATCGTACCTCCTACCTCAATACGAGATTGATGAAGTATTCCCGTACGGAGTAGTGGATTAGGGACATGTGCTTGTCGAAAACTTTTGGAGGCGGTGGCAGTTGCAGGGCGATGATTGGCTGGCCTCTCACCGATCACGACACCGCTTTCCTGCCAGATTTACTGCTTATCGATCTGCTACGTGATTGGCTGGATCCGTAGAGTATCTGGTGGGGTCTGCGCCCTTTGGAGGACATTCAGTATACAGTCAAGTAGATTAGCAGCAAGATTTCTTCAATGATAGTTAAATAATATAATTGTTCTACAGTGTTGTCTCCTATCGAATTGAGCAATTAACCCCATTGGTGACTGCGATAACTTATATCAGAGGCTTGGTCTTCCCCTCTTCATCGATTGGAAATTCGACATATACTTGTTGTCTGGCTCCACGAGACGATACAGATTCAATAACCAAACAAAAGGAACAGAGAAAAAGAAGCAAAGAAAAAGACAACTGGCCAACAAAAGAAAATGGCACCAGCACCACCAGCAGCAGCAGAAGCAGCAGCATCCAAACCAGCCTTCACCTTCACCACCAAACTGCAACCCCCACCAATACTATCGCACTCACCATCAGCACCATCATCATCGCCAGATGGCAGCAGCAACAACAAGAACAGCCCCAGCTCCATCATCCTCGAATACCCAACACCATCCAACCCCCGACCAAGCACCAATCCAGCGATATTCACCGACGCCATGATCGTGCGCGACAAAGTCTTTGTGCAGGAGCAAGGCTGTTCCGCCGAGGCAGAGATCGACGCCGACGATGCACGGAGTTGGCACTGGGTTGTGTACGCGAGTCCTGATACTGATAATAATAATAATAATGCTGAGGCAAATATGCCAGTGGCAGTAATCCGCCTCGTCCCCCCACCGCACGCACCGCACGAAACACTACACAATCCCGACCTCGCAGAATCAGAATCACTACCGAAATACGACCTTCACCACGAGCCCTACATCAAGATCACGCGCGTGGCGGTACTTTTCGAATTCCGGGGTTATGGACTCTGTCGAATGCTGATGGAGACGGTGCACGAGTGGGCTGCACAGCATGCGGAGGAGATCAATACCTTGTATGAGCGGGAAGTATCGAATTCGCAGTCACAGCAGGATGTGTCTACGAAAGGATGGACCGGTCTCGTCATCATCCATGCTCAGGTCCAGGTCGAGAGGATGTATCGGCGGTTTGGGTACGAGACGGACTTGTCGATGGGGACGTGGGAGGAGGAGGGGATAAAGCATGTGGGGATGTTTAAGCGGTTGGAGGTGGTTACACGTGCGTAGTAGATAGATAAGATAGAGGATATTTTTTTTTGCTTCTACTGGAGAGGCTAGACAGACTGCGATAGTTGGATATACCTAGACGGATAGAACAATTCTACAATTCCATGACGAATTACCATAACCAAGGACAACGCACATTTAATCGACCAGGGTATTCATTATTAAAAGCTAGCGTAGCATAACCATGCATGCCATCTCGCTTCAGCGACTCCCAGGCCAGGTATCATATCGACCATTGGGTAAGACCACCGAATCAAGACAGCAGAGAAGAAGAAAAAAAAAAGAAGAAGACAAACCCAGCGAATCACAAACCAGGTCTATCAGGACACCACCCATGATGCGCCGGTATGAAACAATAATGACAACCCGTCAAGAAAAAAGCAAACAAAACAATGACCCACCCGGGTAATCCGAAACTCCAGGAAAATGACCACAGATCAGAACGAAAACATGTATCGCGCCGACGCCTCCGTCTAGAAAAGATGGCAAGACAGAAAAAAAAAAGAGGCAGCAGCAGATCAAGTCTAGAAGACCGCCAGAACCAAATGACCGAAGAGAGAATTAAAAGCAGTAGTACAACACGCTCGCACAACGAAGGGGGAATCACGAAGAAATGCAAGCGAAACCGTGCCTCCCCAGAGAGCAAAGAGAAAGATCTTTCATACAAGAGAAAAAAAAAATCCACAGTGAATCCACGCCAGTAGGCTTTAGCTTAGAAAGTACTCCAGTTCCAGTCGCGCGGCACACTGCTGGCGACCGGATCGAGGGTTTGATTGTCGCTCGCCGAGTCGCTCGTCTGCGACTGGCTGGACGTGTCCGAGATGGACAGGGTTGCCTTGAGGTCATCACTCGAAATGGTACCGTCCTTCCGCGCGTCTAGCATGCTCTGAATCCGGCTGATACCGGCAGCGCGCGACTCCTCCCAGCGCTGGTAGGCTTGCCAACACAGGTCGCAGGCCCGCGACGGGGTTCCGTCTGGATGGAAGCGGGCATCCTGATCCAGGGGGACCACGTGGGGAGTGTGAGCCGCACAGAAGACATGGCCGCAATGGCGGCAGTGATGGCGACGGAGGAAGAGGCCAAAGAAGGCGCGGCAGGTGGGTGAGTCACAGGTCTGGGAAGCCGAGTCGGCCTGGAGATTGGAGATGGGTTGTCAGCTCGTTGTCATGCGGACTTGATATCCACTGCGGGGGCAGGAATGCAGGAACGGGACAATGCAGATGCTAGACTACTGGACAAAGGACGCAACTAAAACAAAACAAAAAGAAAAAAAAAGCAATTGGGTAAATATTGTTGGAATGGGGCAAACAATGAAAGGCTGTTGGAAGGCTGTCTGGAAGGCTGGGGAGTGGGTTATCATGCGAGGAGGTAAAGTTTGCAGTAACGAAACGACAGACGCTGCCACTCGAGCACGTAATAGGCGAGAAAAATGGCTCACACGACAGAACAGGCCAGGGAGTAAGAACTATAAATGAGAGCATCCCCCGCAGGTTTTGTGATATTTTTCGCAATCTCTCCTGCAACGCAGATGGACTCACCTTCCAGTGGTCGCGTTTTGGAGCACCCGTCACCTCGCCCAGATGCTCTTCTCGCATCCACGCATCCTCGGCCAGCTTGCTGATTGCGCTCTTGGTCGACTCGCTGGTCACCTGACGGCTCATGGCGGCAGAGGAGGAATCGCACTCGTTCAGACTGTCGAGAGAGCCATGCACGCTGCGAGGAGGAGTGGGGGGCGCAGGCTTCTGCGGGCGCTCGGTCGGGCGCAGGGCAGCAGGCACGTAGAGAGGCGTCTTGGGCGGGCGGATCTGGCGCGATTGCAGCGGCAGTTGGTAGCCAGCGGCGGTGGTCATGCGAGGAGAGGTGGGCGAGTTGTTGGCGGGCGTGTTGGTGGCGGAGGTGTTGGGAGTAGGATGGCCATAGACAGAGATCTGGCCGGCAGCGGTGGTGGTGGTGATGGTCTGGGTGGGGGTTGTCGTGTGCGTGGCCATTTGGGGGTATCACAACAGCGTCGAGGGCGGGCTGCTATCTATCTTATCGTCCCAGCCGGACGGCAGACAGGGGAGAGAAGAAGAGGAGCGAGGGAGGAGGAGGAGAGGAGAAGAGGAGAGGAGATCGGGCGAGAGGAGAGGACTGCAAGTCTGCTCAGCGAACAGGCTTCCCCCTCGGGCAGGTGACGGCGATGGTTAGTTATTTCGGGGGCGCTTGGTTAGGGGAGCTGGGGGAGTTTGGAACGCCTGGAGCAGCCCACGAGCGGAAAGTCAACCGCCAGTGGGCCAGCAGCCGTTGCAACGCTGGATCCCGAGGCAATAGAGTTGGCTGATGACGAGCACACCCGTGGCAAGGTCTCTAGGAATGAATTATGAGACTGGCAAGAAGACACCAGATGACGAGGACGATGTGTTTGTTCACAGATGCAGCGGACGATCGCCGACAATATGGGGGCGGAAGAACGATGTGCCAGCACCAAAATAGCGCTGGTCCTAGATTCTCTTCACCGTAACAATCGCTACTATTATTTCCCAGGAGAAAGAGTATTAATATTAATCCTGTTATGATTCTGCTATGCCTACGAGGGATGCCAAGCCAGCATTCCCACTGGATCTGGAGGCATGAAGCGAATCGATTGACCGCAAGTCGTAGCCAGGCAACACAGCATCTGCGTCCAGCGGGAGCTGCGAAGATACAAGTGCTTGTCTGCAGTCATCAAGCCATCATCTGGACGATCAAGCTCTGCGTTGGCCACTCATCGACGTCAACCACCTCCGACGGCACGGCAAATGCCCGCCTCGAGCATCCAGTCTCTCGGGAACGAGGCGACGGCTATGAGTATAACCAATCATCCGTCTGGGCTTACTTTCTCCAAGAAACCGTGTGAGCATACTATCCGTGGCATGTGAAGGTGAGAGATCCCTACTCCGACTGCCACGGTTGACCGCTGTTTTCAAAGCATCTCATCTGCAGACATCCTCGACCTGTGCTCGTCAGCCTCGGCGTTTCTTCATGGCCAGCATGACAGCTTTCCTGATTCGGCGCGCGCGTCCCCAACCTGCCCCATCCGACCCCCGTTTTGCCGTCGAATACCGTGAAGTATACATGGCGGGTGCTGATGTCGGGACCTCCGGGAGCATTGAAAATTTGAAATTGACTGGCCCAGAGTTTCTTTGTTCCTCACGGCCAGCCTCGTGGCAGTGGCCGCCGACGATCTGTCCCGAAAGATTTTGTCTTCTCGGGCGCCACCCGATCCGTCGCCAGGCTCAGCCCTTTCGCCCGAGTCGTGAACACTTTGACACTAGATCTCGATCTTGATATCGATAATCGCCTCGTCGATGGCTTTTATCTTTTATCAGCCGCAGCTATCATTATCTTGCCGCTATCTGTCTATCGATCTGTCTATCTAGCCGCTCGTCTGCAGTATTCTTCTCCTCTGCCGATGATTTCTCTCCGGCTGCCCGACCCGGTGGTTCTCTCCCTGCCACTAGTCCCGAAACGGTGTATTGCTTATCGCGGGCTGCTCATTGGTGGATTAGTCCTTGCCAGACGGCGATTGGCCAGTCCCGCCGGAAGAACGGCGGAGCGCCGTTTCGAGCCGCTGGCCAATCAGATCTGGTGGATTTGAATCCAGTCCCAACGGGGCGGTCTTGGCGTCCTGCCGCATGAGGAAGGACTTCTCCGCGGGCAGACTGGGGACTGTACGGAGTATAATTATCACCATCAGGTTGATTCTTTACTCCGTATTCTCTGAAGTTGAAGGCAGACCTTCACCCTCGCTAATAGCCTAATTACGCACAATGTACTCCGTAACAGGCCCCAGAATCCTTCCCTACTGTGGTACCTACCTAAGGTAGGTAACTAAGTTGCAGAGTTATGTAATAACCTTCCCACGATCCAATCCTCCCAAACTGAAACTTGAAACAACGACAAAAACAAAGTTTGACGAATTTTCTTCTAGAAGCCTTACCTATGGAGACCGTTACGCTAGACATATCATTATCCGCTCCAATCGCATTCCATTCCATTTATTCCATTTGGAGAGGCAAATTCCGTCCCGACCTTCCAATAATATAGGTACGGAGTACTCCGTAATAATCATTAATTCAATTCCGATTTCCGAGGTCTGGCACGAAGTTTCCTTTCCGTCTGGTTTTATTATTACGGAGTATTAGTTTTATGAGGATTATTATTATTAGTTTTATCATTATTATGACTAGTATTATGAGTAGTATATTACTCTCCTCTCACAGAGGAGGCTAGGCTAGACTATGAATAGTAGTAGTAACACTACTTACAGCTGTACAGAGTAGTAGTATTGCTACAGTAGCACTTCCCTGGGGTTGCCAGTTCTTAAAAAAAAGGTTTCCCAATTATTCATGGACAAATATTATTATTTCATCCAACTTGTATAGCTATTATTTATTTGGCTAACAGGTATTAGTTTGGATGCAATTACCCGCGGGATGAAGGCCTGACTGTCACGATCGAATCTGGCATTGAATTGGATCTTCGTGGTTCCTACTGCTTGATATGTTGAAAACTATTTGTCAAACAAACTGGGGCACAAAAGAAAAACCTAGGTTATCTAGTGAACCCGTAGTATGATTGACAGCTACCAGGTCGACACATACTGTACAGTACATGTACATAGTGCTACAGCTCGACACTCCTGGTTTCTTTTCTTTAGCACTTTCTGCAATTTGATTCATATTGTATAAGTGGTAATCTAATAAACAGAGAGTGTAGGGGGAAAAAAAAAGAACAAAAATATTAGCATTGAGAAGATAATGACAAGATACACGTACTCTGTATACATTGTTCATTGATGTTGCACTCCCATTGGCCAATGTGGTTGTAGTTAGTTAACGTAATCAATCATCGAGCGAAACACCCCACCAAACTACGCGACGCGCTCATCAACTTCAACCACCAAAATGCCACGCAAAACAGCAGATTCAGCAGTTCATCAAGAGGGCCGTATCTTGCTTGCAATTAAAGCTTTCAATGATGGTCAATTTAAAAGCATACAGGCTGCTGCACAGGCATATAATGTGCCACATCCAACACTCTACCACCGCCTACGCGGGCGTACTGCACGCGTA